CCCGGGCCCGGGGCCCAGGGCCCGGGCTGCCAGGGCCTGGGCCGGGGCCAGGGCGCCCCTGAGCGTTGTTGGAGCTGTCCTGGAGCTTTCTGTGAGCTGTGCTTGCGCTTGGTTTGAGCTTTACTCGAGCTCTGTCTCAGCTCTGGTTGAGCTCCGTTTGCGCTTTCTGAAGTTTCGATGGGGTGCTGCTACAGCTTTGGATGCGACTTGCTTGAGCTTTGCTTGAACTTGGTTCGAACTGTGTTTGATTTGAGCTTTGTTTGAACATGATTCGACCTTCGTTGGAATTGCGCTTTAGCTTTGTGTGAGCTGTGTTTGAGTTTCGTGTGAGCCTTGCTTGAGTTTTGTTTGAGCTTTGTTTGAGCGTTGCTTGAGCCTTGTCTGAGTTTCGATTGATATTTGTCGGAGCTTTGTTTGAGCTTTGCCTGAAATGCATTATTCGCTCAGTGATGTGGCGTTCAATACGGCGGGCGGGCAGGGCATTCAATGCAACCTTCACTTTGTGATGGGACAAAGTTGAGGGAAAACAGATGAGAACCACCGAAGACGCCGTTCGGGCGGGCGGGGCATTAAACTAAACCTGCAGTCAGCGATGGGGGGTCATCGCCATGATCATCACCACCACCACCATCATCGTCACCATCATCATCGTCGTCATCATCATCAACAGCAGCAGCATCATCAAAATCATCATACCCTTAGCAACATCATCATAATCAATATCAGCAGACTCAGCATCGTCATCAGCATCATCAACATCATCAGCAGCATCCTCATCATCGTCAGCACCAGCAGCATCATCATCGCTGGCAGCCCAGGACGGTTGGAGCATTGTTTGACATGCGTTTGAGTTTCATTCGAACTTTAATTGAGCTTTTCTTTTTCCCAATCATCATGCTTTTTCTTTTTCCCAATCGAACCAGTTTTGAAGACACAGCGCCCGCGTCCTCCTTCCTTCCTTCCTTTTCCTCCCCCTGCCTTCTTTCCTCCCCGTCCTTGCCTCTGCCCTCCGCATGTCTCTTTGTCGGCACACCCCTCACACGTTTCGTGGCCCCATAGGGAGCTCCGACTACGGTCCCAGCGGCGGAACTCGCATGCGGTCCCGCACCCATTTTGGCACACCCCTCACACGCTTCGTGGCCCAATAGGGAGCTCCACCTAAGGTCCCAGTGGCGGAACTCGCATGCGGTCCCCGCGCCCATGTTGGCACACCTCTCACACGCTTCGTGGCCCCGTGGGGGAGTCCAACTACGGTCCCAATGGCGGAACTCGCATGCGGTCCCCGCACCAATTTTGGCACACCCCTCACACGCTTCGTGGCCCAATAGGGAGCTCCACCTAAGGTCCCAACGGCGGAACTCGCATGCGGTCCCCGCACCCATTTTGGCACACCCCTCACACGTTTCGTGGCCCCAAAAATTGCCCACGTAAGGTCCCAGTGGCGGAACTCGCACGCGGTCCCCGCACCCATTTTGGCACACCCCTCACACGTTTCGCGGCCCCATAGGGAGCTCCACCTACAGTCCCAACGGCGGAACTCGCATGCGGTCCCCCGCACCTATTTTGGCACCCTCCACACGTTTCGTGGCCCCAAAAATTGCCCACCTAAGGTCCCACTGGCGGAACTCGCACGCGGTCCCCGCACCAATTTTGGCACAACCTCACACGTTTCGTGGCCCCATAGGGAGCTCCACCGAAGGTCCCAGTGGCGGAACTCGCATGGCGGCCTCGCGCCACTTCGGCACACCACTCACACGCTTCGTGGCACCATAGGGAGCTCCACCCAAGGTCCCAGAGGCAGAACTCGCACGCGGTCCCCGCGCCCATGTTGGCACACCTCTCAAACGCTTCGTGGCCCCATAAAAGGGCCCACCTAAGGTTCGGGCCATTTCGGCACACCCCTCACGCGCTTCGTGGCCCCATAGGGAGGTCCACCTAAGGTCCCAATGGCGGAACTCGCATGGCGGCCTCGCGCCACTTCGGCACACCACTCACACGCATCGTGGCACCATAGGGAGGTCCACCTACGGTCCCAGTGGCGGAACTCGCATGGCGGCCTCGGGCCATTTCGGCATCGGCGCCCGCGAAGACGGCCGCGAACGTGTCCCTGAGCATGTCGGGCTCTGGCGGGAAGCCGTGGCCACATAGGGAGCGTGGGCGAAGATGGTATTCACAATTGCGGTATTCACAACTGCGCATAGCTGGGTCTTTCGCCAGGCTGATTCTTCGTTCGGCCCGCCACAAGCGCTCGCGGAACCGACAGGCTGGCAGCAGCGGCCCCAGGAGCACGCTGGCGGCGACCGGCAGGCCGGCGGGCACCGGCCGAAGCTCTAGGAAGCCCGGCCAACGCGGGCCCGGGAAGCTCTGTAGCTCGAAGGAGGCTCTTGAGTACCAGGCCGCCTGGCTCAAACACCGAGCTTCTGGCTGGATCCTCGTCCGGTCTTCTGGCCAAATGGCCCATATACAACATCTGTCTACGCGCGAGACTATCGCTCAAAGGCGTCTGTTGGCAAATCCTCCTCCTCCTCCTCCTCCTCCTCCTCCTCCTCCTCCTCCTCCTCCTCCTCCTCTCCTCCTCCTCCTCCTCCTCCTCCTCCTCCTCCTCCTCCTCCTCCTCCTCCTCCTCCTCCTCCTCCTCCTCCTCCTCCTCCTCCTCCTCCTCCTACACCCCCCATCCACCCTCCCACGACCTCCAGGCGCAGTGAAAAAGAAATGAATGTGCTCGCTGCCTGCAGCTTCGGCACACGGGGAGCTGCTTCGCAGGACCCCAGGAGCTGCCGAAACAGAGGGCGAAGCCGTGGCGAGGGCCTGCTCCCATGGGGGGCGGTCGAGAGCTCTGGGGGCCCACGTCAAAGGAAAGACCGCGGGGCGCGCGCGAGGAAGCCTCCCACGCAAGAGAGAGAGGCCGCCGAGCGGGTACGGTCCGACGGAGCGGGTGCAGCGAACCTCGGCAGTGCGCGGCGGGCACTTGAGAGTGGTCCGTGGCGGAGTTCAAGCCTCCCAGAAGGCGGGTCGTGAGGAGAGGACCTCGTACAGTAGACACGTGGAAGTGAGAGAAGGAAAAGGAGGAAGGAGGAGGGGACAAATATCCCCCGCCCAGCGAAGGCAAGCATCGAACAGGCGCGTCACTCAAAAGCTAAACACTTGGCACCCATACCACCTAGCTCCTCTGAGCTCAAGCGAGATCTGCTATCTCGACTGGGCATGTGTCGCCCATGCATCCGCTGAAGGCTACATACGCTCCGCAGCAACGGAGAGTTGTGAGAAAAGCAACTCTGCACGGATGTCACTCACGCTGTTACTAATCCCCCTCGCCGTCGACAGCAACTTCATCATGGCAGACTCGCCCCTCAAGGATGCAGTCCCCTTGACCACCTCCTCCGCACTGAGCCTCCCACCTCCGTCGTCTATCATTTGGAACAAGACTTGGGCCTCGTCCACCTTGACGTCTTGGCATGAAAGCCACATCTTCACCCATTCGTCCTGGCATATGGTCATCCACTCATCCATATCAAGCGTTCCGTTGCCATCGGTGTCAGCCTCCCTGAAAAGCGCCTGCATATTTTTGGTGTGGTGCTCTGCTTTCCGCCACTGCTGCCGTACCATGATATTGTCACTCAGCTGAGCAACCTTGAATGCTTCCGGAATGAAAACTGCATAAAGAGCACCTATAACAGCGAATCCGAGAACTGCTTTGTGAACCACTGCATACACGACGAAACCCTCGTCGACACACTTCACTAAAATCCTGATGGGGGGGCGATGAAATGACCGAGTAATCTCAAACATTGTGAGGAATGCGCGTGAGAATGACCCAAAATACTCTTACATCTGCGCCTCCTCTTGCGCAGTGGATGAATCATTGTTGAAATAGGTCTCGTAAATAATGTGATAGAATGCCAGGATCTACACAAAATGGAGCATCAACAAAAACAACAAACACCAAACCTGTTGTACATGCACTTCCCGCAAGCGCAGTTGTCATCATGAACAGTCCGTCCGAATGGGCACCCCTCATGAATTTGAGAATGCGCACGAGCCGTATCACCCGTGCTATACGAGCGACCCGCAAGAATTGCACGTTGAGTGTGATAGGTGTAGAAGCACGAATCAGCCACACGATAACGATGACTGCATCTAACCAGTTCCATGGGTCCTTGAAAAATTCAAAACGAAGACCAACGATCTTCACGGCGAGCTCGAGCGTGAAAACTAGCCCGAACGCCCAAGACAGCACGAGGAACAAGCCCTCGCCCAGCGGCCACACCTCGGCGGACTCTCCCCCTGCGCTTCGATGACCAGTGCGCGCAGCCAGGCTGAAGCTGTTGTACTGCGCCTCCAGCGCCACGGTCACGGAGTTGAGAATGATGACCACCGAGACGGCGGCCTCGAAGGCAGGCGCGGCCACGAGCCCCCACAGGCGGCGCCTCCAGGCGATACCGGCCCAGCTGGGGCCTTGGCCACAGCGAAAAAGGTTCGGCGCCTTCCCTTTTCCAACCGCTGAGCAAGGAAGGGGCTGGGTCCAGCTTGCCCGTGCAGAATGGCCTCGAGGCCGCCCATTCCTGCATCGGCCCAGCTGGGGCCTTGGCCTGCAGCGACTGGCCCGCCAGGTGCGACGGGCTGGACGGCGCGGTCGTCTGCGACGCCGTGCCCGGGGCTGTTTCGCCTCTCCCTCCAGCAGGCCGTCCGCGCGCCGCTCGGGCAGGGCGTCCCCGGAGCGGGCGAGGTCCCCGGGGCAGGCGAGGCTGGCGCCGCGGGCGGCGAGGTCACCGCCGCCGGCGAGGTCCCCGCCGAGCCGCGGGCGGGCGGCGAGCAGCTCCCGCCGCAGAGCTCGCGCCTCCAGCCGCAGCCGCTCGGCCTCGGCGTCGTGGGCCGCCCCGGCCTGCTCGAGCAGGGAGCGGAAGTCGCCGCCGTCCAGCGGCGCGAGGCGCGCTCTCGCCGATGGCGAGGCTGCGCTGCGGAGCCGAGGCCGCGTCCTTGGGGGCGCCGTCCGGCACGGCGGCCGCGGGCACGGGCCGTCGCTCTGTGGGGGCGCCAGCGGGCCTGGGCGGCTTGAGCCAAAATGGCTACGGAAGTTTCACTTGAGCTTTGTTTGGCCTTCGTCGGAGCATTGTTTGAGCTGTGTCCCCACCCCAATCGGTCCCCGCTGGGGAGGGGCAGCCCCCACCCCCCGCCGCCGTTTCGAACCCCGGTTCGGAGGGGGGAAGGGTGCTTGCTAGTAACGGTAGAAAGCGCTCTTTCTATTTTCCTCATCGCGCTCCTCTTCATAACCATCACCGTAATGATCATCGTCGCCATCATCATTGTCGACAGTGGCATCATCGTCTTAATCATCGTCACCATTACCGTCGTCATCATCATCATCATCATCATCGTCATCATCATCATCATCATCATCATCATCATCATCATCATCATCATCATCATCATCGTCATCATCGTCATCATCACCATCATCAGCATCATCATCACCATCACCATCACCATCACCATCACCATCATCATCATCATCATCATCATCATCATCATCATTATCATCATCATCATCATCATCATCATCATCATCATCATCATCATCATCATCATCATCATCATCATCATCATCAGCATCATCGTCATCATCGTCATCATCGTCATCAGCAGCAGCATCAGCAGCAGAAGCAGCACCACCACCACCATTAACATCATCATCTTCATCCCTCCCTCGATCCAACGCCATCCTCAATCTCTCGCCTCCCTCCCCCCTCCTCCATAACCCCTCCTCCCTCTTCCCTCCTCCGCCTACTCCTGCCCCTCCCCTTCTTCCCCAGGGGCATGGCCAGCCATCCGCATCCCCCGTGCGAGTGGAGACGTCCCCCCCACCACCGCCGCACGAGTCTCAGAGGGAAGGGGGGAAATGGAGAGGGAGAGACACAGAGAGGGAGAGGCGCAGGGGAGGAGAGAAGGGGGGAGGGGAAGGAGGAAAGGGGAAAGGGGGAGCAGGGAGACCGAGAGGATGGGGGAAGGGGAGAGGAGCGAGAGGACGGGCGGGGAATAGAGAGAGAGAGGGGAGCGGGGACGGCGAGAGAAAGAGAGCAACGGCGCGCGCGGGACGCCTGAAGCCCAGTGCACCGTCCAGGCGCCCGGGAATGCCTCGCGGCCGGGGGAGGGGAGGGGGAGAGGCGAGGAGGGGAGAGCAGGTTGGTTGGTAGGCTAGACTCTTTCAAATGCGAATCCGCGGTCTCTTTCACGCGACTGCCGGGCGAAAAGCGACACTGACAGACCCAAGCCTGACCCAGTCCTGGCCATTGCCAGGCAGCCAGAGGGAGGAGGAGGGCCTCCCTGGGGCACCCCACGACGGAACAGCCACGCAGCGACCTCATAGAAAACACCCCAGCATGGACCCACTGGCCGGCTGCTGAAGCGCAGACCTAAGCCCACTCCAACAGCTCCAGAGGGCCCCCACCCACCCGGCAGAAGCACCTGCGCAACCAAGAATCCCAAGCGAGAGGGCCCTCGGATAAGGACGGACCACTCCGGCAACCAACGAGGGCACGCGTAGGCCATGGCAGCCGAGGGCGCGAGGAGGGTCCTCCAAGCGGGAGCCAGCAGAGCTCGACGCAAGGGGGCTTTGCCCACTCCTGGCTCCCGCGTGGCGAAGCACGACATCCGTGCCAATTTTGCGCGAAGAGCCAGGATCAGAGCCCTCCCACGTGCGGCAGTCGGAGGTGCAGGAGAGGAGAGGAAAAGCAGAGAGAGGCTGAAAAGGAGAGGAGGGGGAGGAGGAGGAGGAGGAGGAGGAGGAGGAGGAGGAGGAGGAGGAGGAGGAGGGACGCGGCGAGGCAGCTTCGCGCACCCGTCCGATTCGAACAAGCGGATGGAAGAGAAGGAGTAGGAAGAGGAGGAGGAGGAGGAGGAGGAGGAGGAGGAGGAGAAGAAGGAGGACGAGGAGGACCAGTGTAAACCAAAAACCCATCAACGATGTTGCAATAAACACCCCATCCAAGCACATGTTTCAAAAGCTCCTACACATATCTATATACTCCTTGCTGGTAGGGCCCCGTTGGAACACAGACGTCTGAACATCTTCAATCGTACAAGAACACCGTTTCTGGGATTTCAGCACCGCGAATCAACAACATTGCTGCGACATGACAATCCCAATCATGCCAAAACACCGTTTTGGGGGCGTCAACATCCCGCGCGCGACTCAAACTGACTGTCGCGCCCGGACAACCTTATATCGTGCCAAAAAACAAATTTGGGAAGCCAGCCATGAGAACCTTTGAAACTGCTGTAAACTGTTAAGACGAATGCGCGCGGCGCTCAGGCGAGAGCCACATATTGAAAAAGAACCGCCATCCACCCATGAGACGCTTGCATTATTTGACAACAAAAGACGAATGCGCGCGACGCTGATGTGATAACCACATATTTATGTATCTATTCTTAACAAAACAAAAAACCTTCCAGCTGTGAAACTTCGGCAAACCGTCAAAACGAATGTGCGCGGCGTTAGAAGCCATGCGCCCTCAATCCGTTAAACTCCTGCAAGAAGTCAAGTCGAATGCGCGCTACGCTGAGGCGAGATCCACATTTTGAAAACGACCCGCCCTCCATCCGTCAAAATGTTGCAAGCTTCAAGCTTCAGACGCCTGGCCCGCCTTACCGACACGTCTCGCGGTGCGACAACAAACAAATGTTTATACGGGGATGGGATGGAGGAGGAGGAGGTGAAGGAGGTAGTGCAGGAACTGGAAGAAGAGGGAGGAGGAGGGTGGAGGAGGGAGGGAACAGGGAGAAGGAAGGGAGGAGGGAGGACAGAGAATGGAGGATGGAGGATGGAGGGTGGGGAAGAAAGGAGGGCAAGTGCAAACCCAAGACCCATCAACGATGTTGGAACAAGCCCTGTCTTCAAGATCCCCCTGTATAGACCCCTACAAGGGTGTATTTCCACTGGGGAAAATTCCCCGTTGGGAAACAGCCGTCTAAAAATCCTGCAGCGTGCCAACACACCACTCTCGGGATTCCAACGCCACGAATCAACCTGAAGATTGCGTGTTGATGATCCTGCACCGTGCCAGAACGCTATTCCTGGGACTTCAACGCTGCGAATCGACGCAACTGCGCTCTTGACAACCCCGAATGGCTCCAAAACGCCATGCCTGCCACATTCGCCATGGGCTTCCGTGACACTGCTGCAAATCTGTAAGGCGAGTGTCCGCGGCTCTGCAGCGAGAGCTACAGCTTGAAAAGGAACCGCCCGCAATCCGCGAAGCTCTTGCACATGCTTGTTACGACTGCGCGCGCGGCGCCACAGGCGAGAGCCGCATTCTGGAAGCGGCCCGCCCTCCATCTATGAAACTGCTGCCGCTGTACGGCATTATCCTCCTCCTCCTCTTCCTCCTCCTCCTCCTCCTCCTCCTCCTCCTCCTCCTCCTCCTCCCCCCCAGAAATTGTACGGCATTCTGGAGCTTCAGGACCAGAAATTGTACGGCCTTCTCCGGCGAAGCGCCCGGACCGCCCTTCCGACCGGCCTCGGGAAGCGACACGGCGGAGTCATTCGTAAGGAAACATGGGGAAGAGAGCGCGCGAGCACCAGAAGGAGACATTCGTATGGAAACATGGAGAAACATGGGGGAGTCATTCATAAGGAAACATTCATAATATTCTCCCGCACTCAGCACAAGCGAGCGGTCTCCAGGCGGCCACCTCCACGGGCGCGCACGAGGGCCCCCGAGCGTGCTCGGGGCCGCCGCGCACGCGGCCGCGCGGCACTCCTCTCACGGGGGAGATCCCCGTCTGGACTT